GCCCCCACCTTATGCGGTAAGGGTTGAGCAAAACGCCCATAACTCCGTGAATCGCAAAAAGTCGCAGACAATTTTAAAGGGACTATCCCACCTTCTAGAATGTTGTTAAAACCAGTTAAATTGTGCCCGACTTTATAGATTGGATGACCAGGAACACGGTTTTGGCATTTATTTTTCATTAAACATCTTAGGCTTCCCATATTCCAAACACAAACTTTCAAATATGTGACGTCACAGCCCAAAATTACTTCCTTCCCCAGGCCACATTACTGTCATAAAGCTGATTCTTTTTACTCTGTAGGCACCACAACAAAGTTCAGACCAAGTTTTAAGCGATTTTTCAACGAACAAACCCATTTAAATCAGAATGACTAAACGAGGTGACGTCACACTAACGGTCGCTCCATGTTGAAGATAGGGCCTTGCGCAAGGCCCATTTTCAAATGAAGGGAACGAATTTCTTCAACACCAAGAGGCCGCGGGGGTTGCAACCTAGATAGATAGTGGTTTCTAAACCTCGCCGCAAACTTGGCTATCTCAACTCAAACCCCATGTTAAAGGTGGGATAGTCCCTTTAACAGGGTATTGAGAACAAACATTAGGCTACTAAGTAATGGTGTTTTTGTGGCCGGATCTCGCGGACAGTAAAACATGCGCATTGCCAAACGTTGTACACAGTCTTGAACTGATGCAGTCAAAAAGGTGTAATGCAAAATATTATAAAAAATATAGAGAAGCTTCAAAAGTTGAAAGTATGGCATGCATATTACTTCGCAAGGAATGAGGTTTCAATCAAAATTAGAGTTTTCAATATATTCAACTTTTGTCTTGATTTACAGCTCTAAATATAACTAGGATCAAATCACGACCAGGCACCAGTGCTCAGCCTCTCCAAAAAAGGTCGTGTTTGGACGTGTGTGGTTTGAAAGTGTTTGGCTTGATGTTACAAATAGTGTCACATTTCGGGTGCTGGGATATTTAGCTACAAAATACGCCAGTATTTATTCATATTTGCCATCATTTTTTTCGGGCCCCTGAAGCGCTAGAATGCATGGATCGCCTACAGTGCGGTGGGGGGTCGCGCACATTCCAAGACGCCAGGTAAATACCGAGGGGGACGCTGTCCCATCGGGACACAAACAACCCCATGAGGGCCTGGCCCGGGGCACTGCCGCCTGCCGGTGACCGTCCCAACCAGTGCAATGTCCCGGCATGGATGAAGGCATGGATGTAGATTACTTCATCCATGGTCCCGGTATTCAGCGTAGGTCCTGCCGAGACGGCCTATTGCGGCGCCGTCCGACCTCCTGCATAGGTTACCTACCACCATACCCACCAGTCACCCGCCGAGGGGGGGGGGGAGGGGGTAGCGCCAAGAGCGTCCGCTCAGCCCAGCGCTGACCTTCCCCAGCCCGGCCCGCGCACCGCCCCGAACCAGAAATATGCGGCTCAGGTGGCGAGCCCACAACACACCTGAAAAGTACCGCGTCACCGTGCCGACGCGCGTGCTGGGATAAGCGTATTCCGCAGGAAGAGCTGCAGCGAGCGGATCGGGCGCGCGCTGGAAGAACCGTTGCGGGCCTAAACGCTGAAGGCAGCACTGTTATCACGGACATCCGCAGGTGCGGATCCGGATAAAACCAGTCCTGGCCGGTCGGGCGGCGGAACTGGGGCAAATGTCACGGTGTGCGGGTCGACATGGCGGCGGAGCTTGGTGGAAAATGCGGTGTGGCAATCCGACCGTGCCGTACTACCCACAGCGCGGTCAGACTCACATTACGCAGTGTGGCACCTGAGCGAGCCTATGCAATACCTATCCATACCGCATAAAAAACATTTGACCTGCGAGTTCCAAGGGCTTGGCATTATCCCCTTAATTTTTGGGGAAGCTTTAGGAAATTTAAAACTATGAATGCCCAGAACAATTGGACAACACATTCTACATCTTGCACACACCACAGGTTTATCTTAATTTATACCGTAGGTAGGCACTGGCGCAGTGTTCCAGCATTACCGCCGAGTTATCTTTTTAGTTGAGGTTTATTTGCCATTGGGTCTACAGCGCAGGGATATTTCTATCTCGCACTCCTCTGAGATGCAGAGATAAGAATTTGTTGTCTCTGTATCCCTCTGAGATGCAAAGATAAGGTCTCTAAGGTTCATAGCTTCATAGCCAAAAATCAAGAGTTCAAGTAATGATGAGTCAATGACTCAATAACCGAGCCATTTATAATGGTTGTTTGTGTATGAAAGTTATGAAATTAAAGCAAACTACTTTTTTATATTTTACATAGGTGAATACATTTAAATATATTTAATTAATTAAGAAGAAACCTCAACATAGAAAGATATAGGATTCTTCATGGCTCGCTCATGGAAGATATCTTTTCCTCGCGTGTTACAGAAAACCCTCGCTCCTTCGTCGCTCGGTTGTGTTAAATCGTAATAAACCGTTCGTGGCAAGAACAGTTGATCTTTCCCCGCCCGGGAAAAGACAACTTATTTATTCTAATTATATCTATTATCTATATTATATATCAACTAATAGTGTAAGAAATAAAATTATGCAAAATATGCATGGGTCTGCCGGAAAGATGAAAATTATCAGCACTCGAGCCTTCTCTTAACTCGGGACCTTCGCTCCCTCGTGAAAAGATGAAAAAAAAAACACTCGTGCTGATAACTTTTCATCTTGCCGGCAGACCCATACATAATGTATATGTATATATGGAGAGGGCCCCGAGGGGCCCAGTGGCAAAGCCTCAGGCCCGAAGGGCCCTTTTATAACCAATGAAGAGAGCCCAGAGGGCCCTAGCGGCAAGGTCTCAGGCCCGAAAGGCCCCCGCGAACCCAGTGGAGTGCCCCGAGGGGCCCTTACGCTACTTTTATTGTACCCCTTACCGTACTTATGACACCCCGATGGGGCCCTTTCGGGCTCCAGGGGGGGGGGGCATGGCCCCTATGGCCCCCCCTTGGCTACGCCCCTGTATATATATATATATATATATATATATATATATATATATATATATATATATATATATATATATATATATATATATATACACTATACATATATATTACATTACACTTACATATATATTTTACATATATATTTACAATTACATATATATGTACATTACACTATATATATATATATATATATATATATATATATATACTCAGAGCCATGGAGAATCGGAATCCTCTATATCCCGCGCCGATCAGGCAGTGTTTACCTATAACAGTCGGGGAAACTATGGCAAAATCTGCTATTTTTAGCAGTCTGCTATTTTTAACAGAAATCTGCCAAAAATGGGTACGCATGTGACGTCATCGTACCCAATTATAGCAGATTTGGGTGCAGCCCCATGCAAAAGCAGATCTGCACCCTAATTGAGGCAAATGCGCATCAAATGCCTGGCAGGTTCATGATGAGAATAGTGCTGAAAATGTCCTCTGATACTTTTGTTCAGATCCGACTATTTTTAAATAATGAATTTGAAAATAGTCGGATCTGAACAAAAATATCAGAGGACATTCTCAGCACTATTCTCATCATGAGCCTGCCAGGCATTTGATGCGCATTTGCTTCAATTAGGGTGCAGATCTGCTTTTGTATGGGGCTGCACCCAAATCTGCTATAATTGGGTACGATGACGTCACATGCGTACCCATTTTTGGCAGATTTCTGTTAAAAATAGCAGACTGCTAAAAATGGCAGATTTTGCCATAGTTACCCCGACTGATAACTGACCCGCGTGCTAATTGCACATGGGTGATTAACAGTAGGCACCGAGGTAAATGGGTAGGTACTGAACAGACGTTCAAATACTCCCTAAACGTCTAAGTATTTGTTTATATTGTCTTGATTATTAGACCACTTAACATTGCATATGCATCAATACAGGGAGCAAAACAGACATTTACGTTTAAATTTAGTTAAAAGTGAACGACGACTCTATCATATGGATAGGTATGGTATGGTATAGTGATGAAAATGTGGCGGTAGCCGGTACGGGATTAAATCATGAGCAGATCGCTCATAAACAGAAAGAAAATCATTTAACATCTCGGTTCCCGCCTAGCTGATCGAGGTCAAGCAGCCAAGGCGAGACGTTTAAATTACTTTTTTTCTGTATCATATTGACATTGACTTCAGACTACAGCTTCTGCTTTTCACTGGAGACTTACTAATACAGCGGACAAAGCATGCGTTCACAAATTTAAATAAAACTCAGTAACGTTACTATTTATAGTGTAAAGTTATGGCGGTAAAAAGTTACCAGATAAAAACGCAAGCAGACCGCTCATAAATAATCATATAAACGTCTCGCGCCCAGCTGCTCTGTCCTGCTGCCCGGCTTCTGTTTTACCGACTTGCGGCTTGATAATCATTCACGTTTTTCGTTCCTATCAGACTGCGTTTGGACATCTCAGTGTACATAAATAGGACAACTTTTACTATAATAAACAATTTTGAAGGTCATGAACTAATAATTTAAAATGATAATTGATATGATTATTACACGATCAAATGCAAGAAGATAAAATACAACTAATAAATTAATGTTATACACTATACATACAGATAACGAAGCAATTTCAATATAGTTCTAAAAATAGCACTGCTAAAGCCGAATGTTTAACGTTATTCCGTCCACAAAGACCGAGAACTATGAAGTATAGGTAATGCGAGGCTGAAGAATTAAACGGTCAATAAACGTCAATAACGTAAACACCTGAATAAACCATTAGTTTAATTTATACCACAGGACAGGCCCGCGTCTTTACGAGATGCAGCATTTGGGCATTACAATCAAACCCCTCTATTTCCCCTCACGTCGACCAATAATAATACACAAAAATTAAATGACTATGATAGCAGTGTTCCTAGTTATGCATGAACGACAAAGCAGCCCCACCAAAAGCCGATTAGATTAAAACCGTCATTGCTGCTTAAATACTGAAAAAGAAATTGTTAGTTTGCCCAAACTGACCTTTTTCCATGACGCCGTGGAGAAGAGTCGGGCGCCAGAGCCGATGCGGGGTTGCGCCCGCAGCAGGTAGGCGGTCGGGGCGGCGGTCGGGGCGGCGGCGGCCCGCAGCACTGCCGTCCGGCTGGTCTGAGTCTGTGCCAGCAGCGGGTTACCGACAGCGGGCGCCGGCTGGCCGATCCGACTCAGCAGGCCCGCCGAGGGACTGAGGCTGCGGAGGCGGGCTGACGAGGACATGGCTGGGCCGATGTTGCCTGCGCGGCGTGCCGAGCTCGAATGCCGCGCTCCTGAGGCCGACCGGCGCTGCTCGGGGTGGACCGGCGCGCGCGCCGCTCTCGGCGGGGCGCAGCTGATGCAAGTCGGCCGACGGCGAGCTCAGACGGCTCGTCGGTGTCGGCGGGTCGGGTCGACGGGAGTCGGGCGGCGGCTGACGGGGACTCTGCGGCGCTGGCGTCTCCTCCTCGGGGGCTCCACCCTGCTGTTGCACCTGTCTGGTCTGTTGGGGCCGATCCGGCGCTCGGCAGCGGACGCCTATCCGAGGTCGAAGTTGTCCTGTCGTCGGCCCAGCGAGAACAGGCCGGGAGTCAGGCTAGCGCTGCCCACTCGCAGGAGTCCAGGCATCAGAGTGGTGGCGGAGCGGCTGTTCACGGTAGCGGAGCGCGGGCAGCAGTGGCCGCGTCGAGCCGGTGCCCAGGTAGTCACCGCGCCGGCCGCTCCCTCGGGGCACGCTGGCCGCCTGGCGGGTTCTTCGCCGGTAGTTTTCCATCCTTACCGGCGAGCGTCTACCAGCGCGCGGCAGTAGTTTTCCACAGGAGCCTTTATCGGCTTTCCTATCGTCTCTTTCCTCCGTAAGACGAACAACACCTCGCGGGAGGGTGCGATAACTATCAGCGCCGGCGCCGGGACAGCGGCGGCCGGCCGGCGCCCCCTGACCCCGCCCCGGTGGACCCTGTCCCCGCGGTATTCTGAGGCTGTTTCCAGGAGATCGGAATCCCGGTGTGCGTCGGTATGCGTTACGGCATAATGGCGTCTGTCCGCGCAACATTACGGCGGCTGCACGAGCCCTGAATGGCGGCCGGCGGCGCTCACTAACCGGCCCGCTGCGCTAAACGATCGCAGGTTGCAGCGTATATCTATAGCCACAAACGAGAGTAGGTCACGGCATAGGCCCTTTAGCCAGTGGGATAAATAGCACTCTCGTTAGAATAAATGTGATTTTGCTCATTTAAAAACATATTTGCATTAAAGGGACCCTCCCACCTTCAAAAAATTTATGAATTGGCATGAAAGTGATGTCGCTCGGTTCAGAAAGAGCGAAAACGAATATCTACCAAATTTCACCGAAAAATATTCACCGATTTTCAAGATATTAGACTTTTACTTTTGTTTACTTTTTGGGATCTCCGCTGTTCCTAGCGACTTTATTTGAAAGCAGTAGTTTGGCAGCTGAAAGTGCGGCACTTGTTGCGCGCAAAGCAGCATATACCACCGCGTGCTACAAAACGTTTTAGTCAAACATTTAAAAATCGTTAGATATCTGCGCTGACGTCACACATTCAGAGGGGTATTCCTATGCATTAGCCCCTATGAATCAAAATGCTGCAATTTTGAAATTCAATATTTCCGATTTAAGGCATTTCTCGATGTTGTGAGTGCCGAAACCGGTAATTGTGAGCCAGGGACCCCATTTTGGCTATCTCAACTCAAATCTAATGTTAAGGTAGGAGGGTCCCTTTAAACTGATGAGTGAAAACATCAGATGACGTGAAACTGATCGATCAAAAGGCTTCGAGGCGTTAATAGATTGTTAAACGTCTAGTACCTAGACGTTTACCAGTAACCATTTTGCTAAAAAGTACGCTATACGCTAAATTATTGGTAAAAAATCTGCGTTTCAACTTTCGAGCGTAAAAAGTGAAACGTTTTTAAGTCATACGTTTACCAGCTTGATTAAAGAAAGAGTGGTTTTAAGGCTCATGATTATATATATAACTGCAATGAAAACCCTAAGCCTCATACTAATAATTGTATTCAAAATAGGGCCAAGAAAATAAGAACTGTTTCGTGCATAGCACATCGTCAGGTCTATTTTTTTCTTTTCTTGGCCCGATTTTGGATACAATTATTAGTATGAGGCTTAGGGTTTTCATTGCATTTACCAGCTTGCTGAACATACAGTAGAATCCGCTTAATAAATCCACCTTGGTGACAAGGTGTTTTGGATTTATTAAGCGGTGGCTTTATTAACCAGTGTCAACTATTTTATTAAAAAGCATGCATCGCAGCTGCACGTTCCGTTCCCCTGCACTACAAGCGTACAGGCTAGCATTCCTCATTGTCTTACTTATTCCAATGAAAGTGACCACGGGCTCCACCTCCACGGGTGGGGTCACGGGGGGGGGGGGCGGACCCTCAATAATTTGACTTTCCTTATGTAGCCTTATGCTTAAAGGCGTGCGTTTTAGGGTTGGACATCCCCCCCACCCCCCCACCCCCCCACCCCCACCTGCGACCGTAGTGGAACCCCTGAAAGTGACCAGCGCACACTGTAAAGCTGTCACAGCGATTAAAGGGACCCTCCCACCTTAACATTAGTTTTGAGTTGAGATAGCCAAGTTTGCGGCCAGGCTCAGAAACCACCATTTATCCTGGTCGCAACCCCCGCAGCTTTATGGTGTTCAAGAAATTCCTTCCCTTTACTTGCAGGGTGGGACCAGCGTGGTCCCTATCTCTTAACCATTACGGGAATCTGATGACGTCATCAGGCTTTCGAACGTCCGTTAAATGTTTGACTAAAACGTTTTGTAGCACGCGGTGATATATGCTGCTTTGCGCGCAACAAATGCCGCACTTTCAAATAAAGTCGCTAGGAACAGCGGAGATCCCAAAAAGTAAACAAAAGTAAAAGTCTAATATCTTGAAAACCGGTGAATATTTTTCGATGAAATTTGGTAGATATTCGTTTTTGCTCTTTCTGAACCGAGCGACATCACTTTCATGCCAATTCATTAACTTTTTTGAAGGTGGGAGGGTCCCTTTAAGTCAACATGCCCATCTACGATCACTCTCAGTCATGCCTGCTATGCCAGCGAAACAGTTGAGGCAGAGGGTGCCTGCTTTGCCGGGAACATTTCTCTGAGGTGCATGGTGATGGCGCTCTTGATACCCCTGAACTCCTTCTGTCGTGGGGAAGTCAAACTCAGTGGCGGATCCAGGGGGGGGGGGCAAAATGGGCATTTGCCCCCCCCCCCCAAACGGCATAATTTTAACATTACGCCTATGGACGAGGCATGGAAAGAATCGATAAATTGTTATGGTTTGCCCCCCCCCCAAAAAAAAACTCTGAGCTGGATCCACCTCCGGTCAAACTGCTGCAGACCGCTGCTCCAGTGCGGTTCTTTTTTAGTGGGTTGGATGCCACATTTTGAATGGGGAGGTGTCACTGCGGACTTCGAAACTCCCAAGTGGCTTTATTAAGCGAGTCCGTAGATTTATTAAGCGGATTTTTTACCTACGGGTATCTATGGAGAAAATCCGTGAACAGCTCAAGCGGCCACAATGAGCGGCTGGGTTTATTATCCGTGGATTCATTAAGCGGATTCCACTGCATTCAACAATTTGTTAAACGTCTAATAGGTTAAACGGCTCAGACGATTAAAGATTGGTGAGCGTCTACTTAAAACCGTTTATTGAACCGGTTGCCTTATGTATACCTACTAACCGCTTCACTCATTCAGAGAGTAGGTATTCAGACATTAGGTACATTGTGAGTGTCGAATGAGTGAAATAAGATGGGTAAGCGATATTGGGTACTGCGAATGCCGAATTACCTACTCATTCAATTTCTTCGTTGATGTGCATTCATCCACAGACTTCTCTATATATAGAGAAGTCTGTGATTCATCCAACAGGCCGCAGTCAGACACCCTGCAAGGATGCGAAGGATGATTGAAATGAAGGAATGTGATTTTGAATCGCTATGTGAATGAGTTATTGCGGTACGGGATGAAATAATTAAACCGACCGTGAATACCAGGGCTGCGGAGTCGGAGTCGGAGTCGGAGTCGGAGTCGGTCGGAGTCGACAGTTGTGACCGGAGTCGGAGTCGGAGTCGGAGTCGATTTTAGAAACCCCAGCCGTAGTCGGAGTCGGAGTCACCGAAAATCTGTCGACTCCGCAGCCCTGCTAGGTCTGCGGAGTCGGAATCGGGAGTTGGAGTCGGTCGGAGTCGACAATTCTGCCCGGAGTCGGAGTCGGAGCTGGTTTTTTAAAGCCGGAGTCGGAGTCGGAGTCGGAGTCGCCGAAAATCCATCGACTCCGCAGCCCTGGTGAATACAATGACCGGTTAGGCGTCTCTCCTCGCCGTTTAGTTGCCTAAAGGGAGTAGTTCGCTTTCCTGTAATTCGTTTTTTGAAATGGATTTGTGATTTTTTATGATCGAAATGATCAGAAAATAAAATAAAACCTGTTTTATAAAAAGGATTATTTTATATATTTTCATATAGGAAGAACTATATTACCTATATAAAATAATGTTTGACGCGGAACCTTATAACTTATTACGCATTGGCCAATCATATTGCGTAATTCAAACCTACACATGCTGCGTTGGCTGTAAGAAGCATGCTGATTAGCTGACAATGACGTGGCTGCATTCCTCAGCAAGAGAGGAATACGCATAGAGAAATAAGCATAGAGGAACGCATGGAGGAATGCATTCCTCTACAAGGCACTCTTTACGGAACGAGAAATGGAATATATTTGTCTAGGGTGATCGTTGGGCCGTAGAAGCTCCTGATTTGTGCTAGTCTCAGCTCAAGCTACGAAACTGCTATTCCAGCTCAAAACCCCATGCTAAAAGTGAACTACCCAAAAGTGAACTATGTCCTTTGACCTGTGACCTACTTTCCGAGACCATGTTTGGCCGGAATCGCGATTCGGCGTATGTCGGCTCGCATTAGCCGCGCGTTTGCAAGCTTTTCGTGGTTTCAAACGTTCAAACATGTGATTTGATGTTGCTCCCATACATTAGCCCTCGCCGGCACAGGCTATTTTGCGTCCTTCGACGGCAAAAGGGTACGACGGGGAAGGGTACGTTGGTACGACCCCCCCCCCCCCCCCGCTCGCGTTTGGCCCCTGATTGAGCTAGAGCTTCGCGGAAAAAAACGAGCGTGCTGCCCGTCACGAGAGGAAGCCGATATCCAATTTTAAGGTTCTAGGTCATCGAGTGACCTTCCAGGTCAGGTTAATGACCCGAAAATCGGGAAAATCGGGACCTGTTGGAAAGTCGTAAAGTGTGGCTGCTATGGGGTTTTCCGGGGTGCTGATCACGAATATCGTGTTAGTTTTGATCAGAGATGATGTCTTTAAGCATTTAGACCAGGTCGGGTCAGGTCAGGTCAGGTCAACCGGTAGGGGTCGTGACGGGTATTCGTAATATGTGTCAACCGCCTCTGACAGCTTCGTAACATGTTACGAAGGCACTAAAACTACTTTGTAAATGTTCAAATGGTTGCTAAATTCGAAATCAGCTCCAAAAACTTGTCTAGAAACATGTAAAACTCGAAAAAGTGAGCCGAGGTCACCAAAGGTCAATGACCTGACCTGACCTTCAAGTGACCCTGACATCCACCCTAATGCATGGGAGCAGCATCAAATCACATGTCTGAACGTTTGAAACCACGAAAAGCTTGCAAACGCGCGGCTAATGCGAGCCGACATACGCCGAATCGCGATTCCGGCCAAACATGGTCTCGGAAAGTAGGTCACAGGTCAAAGGTCATTTGGGTCAGGGTCATGAAATTTTTAGGGTAGGTGTAAAATTGATCAATGCGAGAGTACTGAAAGTTTCGTCGCGAT